AAACAATATATATTTGGAATCCGACAAAATAGGACTATCATTTCCAGTGAAAATATACACGCTGATCCATAGAAATACAACATTATTCGATATCACTTTTATGAGACAGTATATACAAAAATATTACATGAAAAACTTCATATTAGACTTCATAGCTTTTATATACAACTTTATAGTCGGACACATGTCACTTATTTCCGTCGGTCTGTCTGTCTGCCTGTCCCGTCTATAACATTGAAAGTACCGGTCGGATTTTGATGAACTCTTCATACAATGTTACTACTATGCCAAGGACGGAAAAGCTTTGTACTTTTTTAAAATCGGTCCAGTGTCGGCGGAGAAAAAGACCAAAAACAAAGGAATAAAAATCGCTCAAACTTCGTTTTTTGACGTTTCGGAGGATCCTGATCATTCAAAAAAAAAATTGTAGGTTTCAAAAATTGGGGATAGGAGGTTGTAGAGGTGGGGAAATGTGTAACGCATTTTTTGATATTATATATAAATACACTTCCAACCCCGATAATTCTTCGCACCTATTAGGCATATTTCATACATCATAGATTACCCCGTACATTTGCACTTGACACAACGATAGAAAAACAGCCGCGAACGGCGTGCCGGTGTTCATATATGTTCTGCATGCCTGCTGCTCTGTGGGTGCTCTGCCGCGTGAGACGCATCATGCTTTCAGATATTGCGGAGAGGCGTCATGCCGTTGCCAGATGGACGGAACTATGGGTAGGACAGGGAAAGGATGCTATGGACTAATTGTATGGACCTGTTTGACGAACTTCATCCGTTCAATTTGTTTGTTATACATGTTCGTAACTAACATTTTTCTTAGAAGGTCTAACTTAAGCCCGTATCGTCAGTCGTCCCTACAATTTTAGAGCGCGTTTATGGCCTCCTTGATTGTTATACTCCTTTCTCTCCTTTAAAAATTTCTAGATTACACTTGTATTGTGTCAGCGTCAGCGCTCTCCTATTGTGAAGATCTGTTTTCTTTTTAAATTGTAGGAAATGTCAAGCTGATAAAACATGATATAACTGAAAAGCAAGCAGAATTTGATGCAAATAGATTTTTGTGACATAACCTCAATATAGAGCGCTGACACGTAGAAAACAATCGACTGACGATACGGGCCTTAAGCACACTGCTTCCGTACAATGACAGTTAATGGCAATATATATTTTGTCTATCTATCTTCCAGGTGATAGTTCATTTATTTTTCTTTTCTTTATTAATTGAGAAAACATATGGTTTGGATAAGCGACCAGACAATGGAGTCCTATCAATATGATAAACCTCACAGGATAAGTTTCAACTGTTACATTGTTTTATTGGATGTTAGTATGGAAAGTACCGCTCGGATTTTGAAGAAATTTTGACACTATGCCAAGGACGAAAAATCTTTGTCATTTTTATAATCGATCAAGCAGGGGCGACACGACGGAGCTACAAGTAAAAAAATAGCATCAAGTTGACTCTTTACTTCCCACGGAACGCTGACATCCGTTCGTAGAGAAATATGTTTGGCACAAGTTAGCTCTTCTGAGAGAGATATTAGCTAGGAACATGTATAACAAAAAAATAAATGACCTTCCACCCCCTGAGAGGAATTCCTGCAGGCGCAAATGGTCTTTGCAATGCAAATTGCCGACAACTTTAAGTTCAAGTATATCGTTGACTATGAGGCTGGTCATAACCCTCAAAATGATTTTAAGGTCAGATAAATTTTCAAGTAAGCACCTTTTACTTGTTGCATTGAAACGTTGGATTGCCAACTACTGCATGGCTTTCAATATTGTAGGTATTTCTTTCTCCAAAATCAATCTCATTCACACTAGTGCGAAACGAATGGATCTGGGGTTGGAACGCATATACAGATACAGTCCTCCCGAAGCGTGTAAAGCCTGAATAGGTCAGGCCAGGAAGTCAAAAGCCTATCAAAAGAATAATACCTATAGCCGAAAAAAATTTGCTTTGAGTTTCTTCGATAAAATGAAATAACCTGTGAAGAAATATCTAGAACATGAATATAATGATCGTCCTTACCTTAGAATTGGATTAGATTTTCCCTTGGAAGGAGTAGCGAAAATAAAAGTCCACGCACTCGACCCAGCACTACACGCGACGTGCATTATACCGAATTTGATATTCTGCTACAATTATTTGATGTTTTAACCGTTAACAGAATATAGCAGAATTGCAAAAACCAACGATTTGAGAAGTTTTTGGACGAACTCGCGAACAAAATAAGACGACGCGACGGCGGGATTTAAACTGAACAGTGACGCTTGCGCATCAAAGTCGGACCATGTGTCGTTGCAACGTTGCCAGACTTGCTAAGATTATACTTGAATAAAAGATATGCCGGAAGGCTGTCGTGAATAATAACTAGAGTAAGGTAAGAGAAGCAGTTCTGCAGGGTGTTTCATAAAAATGTGGCAACGTTGCTAGGACACAAAGATAAAAAATAACGAAAAGTTCCTGTAAACATGGGATCTAAAATGCTCCCTTTAGCTCTATTCACGCTGAGCCGTGACGTGACAGTGCCGTAACGTGCCAGTAATTCTCGCTGATGTGTTTTCAATTCACACCGGTTAGTATTTTTCTCCGTCTGACAGTACAGTTGTGTTCACGTTAGGTCGAAATGGAAAAATTTTCAGAGGATGAATTTGCAATTATTGCATTAATTCTGGATGAAGAAGAAGAAAACGGAAGTCCATGTAATTTGAATTTGACTGGTTCTACAGCATGGGATGTACGCGTACATATTCAGTTCGTTATTCATCATTCATGTTCTTGACCAATTATATCAAAATATTCACGAAATTACATAAAAACGCGGCCGTGAAAATCGAAATATATCGTTCCAAAACAATGTGATGATCACGGTACAGCGTCGTCGAGAGCACTGAGAACTAGGGATGGCAACGGTATACCGGTATACCGAACATACCGGTATTTGTGAAAAATATACCGGTATTTTGCAACCGGTTTTTAGTGCTCGGTATATCAATTGATATACCGGTATTTCGATAAAATACCGAAATATCATTTTTAGCGTTCTGACGTGTGCGATTTGTGTCTATCATGTGATATAGAGAACTGTATGGTAATTCAAATACAAGTGCTCACCAGTATCAACAGATGCCGCTGTGAGCAAGACTACAAAAAGATGCAATTTATTGGTAAAATGCAAACGTATTAGCTTTGGCGTAATCATAAACTAAGGACATTGCGTGATCTGTAAAAAAAAGTACTGCATACTACGATTAGTTATTACCGCGACTTGTGTATAGCTGATCAGCAGTTTAGTTTTACATACATATGTGGATTTGGCCGATTTGGGATTCCCATACCTTCCAAGCTATAATAATGAACGGCAACACTGTACGAGACGGCCATTTCTAGCCTTTGCGCTTGTAGTTTTTGTTCATGCTTGTTTAGCTTTTTGTGTCTTTGTTTTTGATTGTTTCGGGTGAAAATGGTACCGCCAAAAAGTGTCGTATGGAAATACTTCATAAAGGAGTCCGAAAACGCTGCGCGATGTAAACTGTGCTCGAAGATACTGAAGAATGCAGGTGGAAACACCTCAAATCTAAATACCCATTTGAAACACAAACAAAAATGTTATTCGCACTATAGAAATGGATGTCCGAAACAAGAGCGACATTGATACATCGTCTTTACCGTTAAGTAATATTATATTAGCTAATTATTTATGTTTGAAAAATAAAAAATTGTCGTCAAGGGGGTATATAAGGGACTGAACTTTCTGTACAGGGCTATCACTTATTTCTGAATCCGTGCAATATGGCGCAACCGCGCAACATGGTTGCCGTCATGCTATCCATTTCCGTCTTCCTATGAAATGTTATTTGTGCGCATGCTCAGTACGTCTCAGCGGTTTTTGAATTCTGACACGGAGAAGTAGAAAACTATGACAATCAAGGAGGCCATAAAGGCGCCCTACAATAATTGTAGGGACGACTGACCATACGGGCCTTAGACCCTAGATATGCCGTAGGAGACTAAGGCCCAGTGTCAAGTCATTACGCCAACGGCTGTTTATTTGTGGTTTATTTTCGTTCTTTTTGCCTCAATATTTGCATTGTTATGTTATAAAAAGTTTTATCGAAACTGAGGTGTCCTTCTAAGTATTTTGCTAAAATGTCGAGGTTTCGGTCGACAAGCAAAACAATTCATCAGTTCTTTGAAGAAATATTTTGAGACGGAACGAGATCATGGAGCTCCATTATTGCCTTTACAGTCCGTAAGAGAGGTATTATGTAGTAAATAGAACTTATACAACAATGTTGATTGTAAGAATGCATCGAACACATAAGTAGATTTTGTAAAACGTAGTAGGATCTAGTATTTTTAATGTGACAACCATGTGCGTCACTGTCATTATTTGAGGTTGTGAGGTAACTGCTTTGATTCAGTGAATAAACTATAGTTACATTAATGTTCCTGCCACCAGTGACGTAGAATCTGGATTTTATGTAACACAAACTGAATAACAAACATTGCAAGAGATTTTTACTAATGGAACAGTTTTTTAGAAAACCCTAGAAAATAAAAGCATGGATCAAGGAAATTCAAATTTGGATTTTTATTTTTTTTTTTGAAAATATTTTAAGTAATTAAACCAGATTTTGAATATGTATCTGATAACAGTTGCTTATAATTTAATGTGAAGATGCCATACAGCACAATTTCTATTGGTTTCTGTGATAGGACTAAGGAGAAAATCAAAACAGTTTCTGAACTAAATTCAACATTTCTGTAAAAATCTAGTTTTCAAATTTCTTAAATCGACCAGCTTCTCAGCAAATAGACAGAATACTATTGTTTCGAGAAGGCTTAGTCATGTTTTGGCTGTGTTTGAATATATTATCAAGACTAAGTTACAAGAATTTTCAAAAATAAATTTTTAGACATTCTTTGTTACCTTTACAGCAAAAGTACTAATTTTTCAAAACAATACACGATTTCAATAAAGGAGTTGCAGATTGAAATCATTTTATTCACCAAAATATAAACAAACATTCATATTTTAGAATGCATTACAGCTCAAGTAGTACTGAACATTAAATGTGTCTCAAATTAGAACACAAAGTTGTATCAAACAATACACCTTTCCTCTCAAATAAGCATTAAATGTTTAAAATACATTACAACTTAAAACCCTATCCTAAAGTACAAAAACCTATGAAAAGGAACATAACTGATAAACAACAATTTATATTGAAATTTGGTAAAATATCAATGTTGCTGGCCTAAAATAAGTACTTAAACATTCTGCCTAATAGCCTTATCAATATCCTCCATATGATTCTTGAGTTTCTGCCATTGCTCCATGGTAAGCATAATGCCTTTTTTGGATGGTTTCAAGTCCCCATCAGCATTGTAAAACTCACGAACATCCAAATACCAATTATTCTTGAATTCAGTCAGCTTTACAAAACGATTTTTGCCTAAACTCCACTGGTTCTCTTCGCTACTGTCTTTAGATTTAGCCTTCTTCACTTCTGGTTTAGATTTCTTTGCAGGGGTTTTCTGTAAATCAAATGTCATACCTGTTAACAGATTTATCCAACTAGAATTACATTTGAATTGATTAGTGCGAAAACCTCGCAAGTCCCATAATTTAAATTTTTCAGTAGACAATAAAACATGCATCTCTGACAAATAAACCAAAGAACTTTTTTGGGTTGAATGTAGTATTTGAGTTCTATAAGATTGAAATTTTGAATAACCTTCACAGTTCATTAATGCTAATAATGAAAAAACTTTGAAAAACAGGTATGGACTTCCATTGTTTCAAGACGAAGTAGGATTAGAGAGGTATAAAGAGTGTTTCCAATTCAACCCTCACCATTGGGATCTCAGAAACTAATACGAAGTCGCATAAATGGGGGCAAACATGTGTATTTAGATAATCAACATGCCGCTTAGAAGACTTCGAAATTCAAAGAACTTCTGGAGAAAGACAAAAATTAACCCAAAATTTTTAATTTTTTCCTGACTTTATTTGTAGTAAGATTCCAAAATAAATTGCACATTAACAGTGCCACTTTTTCTCCTCTACAATATGACATTATTAGAATTTCAATGACATTTTGTCTCTTGTCATCCAGCATCAACTTTATTTTTTCTTATAGATGCCATACTAGATTTTTGCACAAATGAATAGAGTTTTCAATTCTAATTCCAAAAATGGGATACACGTTGTCAAATTCGCTTACCAGATTTATGATAAAATTACTTTTATTTTTTTCCTGACTTTATTTGGCGTGGGATTCCAAAATAAATTGCATGTTTATTGCCACTTTTTCTTCTCTACAAGATGGCATAATTAGAATTTCAATGAGTTTTCGTCTCGTGTCCTCCAGCATCAACTATATTTTTTTATGCATGCAACACAAATAAAGTAAAACGATTTTGGGAAATTCTTTTTTTTCCGTCTTTCTCCGAAAGTACTTTGAATGTATAAAACTTTCTAAGCTGCATTTTGCTAGTTACTTAAATATGCAACTTTGCCCCCATTTAAGTGACTTCGTATCTCTTACAGTTTTCAAGATCTCAAAGGTGAGGGTCGAATTTGAAGCACCCTGTATAGCTCACGCAAAAGGGTCATATTAATCTTAAACCTTATTTCACGAGTATTCATCACGTTTTTTCGTCTACTGACGACAACAAACAGTTGATCAGCCTGTGACATATTTGGATTAGTTCGTAATGTAGGCAATAATTAATAGGGTGTAAATCTAGTCAAAGTTGCTTGTAGCTTGTTTTTAAATAACAGAGTTGTTAGCAAGTGCAATATGAATTAGTAGCATAAAAAAAACAAAATTGACGGATATGTCAGAATTGTGTCATTTGCCGATAAGGGGAATTTTTAAATGCTACTAGATAATCATATGTTGTCCTACGTTAATGGATACTTGTGAAAAAGACAATGTTCTCATTGCTTATTATTGAAAATAACACTTAAATATCGACTTATTAACATGCCACATGTTTTATTTTGCTTATTTTAATATTTCTGAGGTATGCAGGGGAAACCTGGATAAGTCAAACACCTGGAAAAGTCGAACTTTCCATTTTATATTCACCATGAAAAATACATAAGACTGATTCACACCAGTTTCTACATTGATCAGGACCCATATGCTTATTTGACTACCAGAGCTGCTTTCCAGTGCTTTTGGATTGAGAGTTGTATGCACTGAAAGTGTGACATTCCCAAGCTGCTGTAGCAAAAATGTGCACAGGAATGTTTGTAATCACACTGCCAATCTAACAATAAAAATGTGAAATAGGTTTTGCTTTTATCTTCAGAAGAGCATTGTCAGACTATCCAATGGTTGCCTGATGATGCTTTTAGAATGATGAAACGACATGTCAGACATCTGCATTTCTATTGTGCAGCTTCTGTGTAAATGAGTCAAATTCATATGTTAGTGTAGACATTAAAAATTATTTTCAATGTGTCCAGTTATAGATCAAGCCAACCATAAGCTGCTATGAACTTGCCTTTTTGTGTTCTTCATTATTCAGGAACACCTCAAATGTATGTTGTGACTCTGGGTCATATATTATGGATTTTTTAGCAACTTACATGATCTGGTATGGTTTAATGCGAGTTTAATGGAAAAAAAACAAAAAGTGAAAAATTGTAATCTAAAGGCTGCTACACACAGTGCCAGCGGCAGGGCCGCCGGGCAAGCCGCCGTACACCCGGCGGCATACAAAGCCGCCAGCCTTGCCGCGCAAAGGAGCCGCCGTGGTGTGCCGACGGGTTACGCGGCTTGCCGGCGTCACTTCGTTCCTGGCATTCGAGTGGTAGTGTTGTGCGGTTTGTGTGTTTAAACAAATTAAAATGTCGTTTAATTGGAACGACGAAGCTGTACTGCTCTTAATTGAAAAATTTCATGAAAATGATATATTATGGAATCCCAGAAATGCAGCACTTCACTAGCTTTCTATGTGACTGTCACAACGGGAATGATGCTCGAGGGCTTTGCGCGGCTTGTGCCGGCGGCTTGTATTGCCGGCGGCATAGCCACTCGGCATAAACCCGGCGGTATTGCCGCCGGCACTGTGTGTAGCAGCTTTAAGGATCTTGACACATTGTCATTTGCATTATCCCCCATTATTTCAGAGAATATTTATAACACGGAATAAAAAGCTAGTGCATGAAACTGGAGCAGTGGAACGGTAATGCCAGGTGTTGGGCAGTACGGAGTTACTCTGAGCAGCACAAAGGAGGCAATGGAAAGTCAAAACATATTTTTCCAACAAAAAAAAATTGACATTGTGAGTGTAATTCAATCTTATTAGTATCTACACGAAGAGGTGACCGAAATATTTACTGCAGATTTGAAGGACCTGTCACACAAATGAGGATTCAGTCAATGGCTTTGATACGAAACAAAAAAACTCAAACTCAAGGTTTTACTTACGTCTTCAGGGCCAGAATCAGAATCTGATGTATCAGAATTCTTTTTCTTATGGTCCTTTTTGGATTTCTTGTTCTTCTATAACAAAAATTACATGAATCAATGAAGGACGCATTTTTATTGAAAAAACCTACCATTTCCTGCTCAGACTCTGAACCAGAATCTGACTCTTCTTTCTTGTTTTTCGGCATTTTGAGCAATTGGAATAACAACAGTGAATTGATAGAAGATGATATATGCACTGATTGGGGCCCAAGAGCCTCTAACAAATTATATTAGGATATTTTTATACAGCAAGCTGGCACAAAATGAACAAAAAATGCCGGTACCCGTAGCCCAAAGAATGCAGTAAGCAGTACACTATGCACAAAACACAAAGCTCACAGAACAGAAATAGCCAAATGACAGTTGACACTATTTATTCATTTCTCCTTTGTCACAGAACAAGAATATGTAGAATCACCAGACCCTAGATAAAACTGAGCCCCTCAATCGTAGGAGAGAAAATGGCTGTCGTAAACAAACTTTTGATATTTATGTGTCTACTTTGTTGTTCTATGAACTTGACAATTAAAATTTTTGTTTTTTGTGTTTTTGTCTTTTATGATCCGTGATTTATAACCTGATTTTAAAATTCGTTTAAAAATGAAAAAGTGAATTTCCATTTCTACAGAAAAGACGCTTAAACATGATGTACAAGCAAATTAGAAAGTTACTACAGAAGTCCGATACTTTTATCTTCCAGATAAAACAATTGTCAAGTAACACGAATGAGATAGTTGCTACTGGCCAAACAGAAATTCTTCCTGCTTGCAACTCCGATAGTAGATTGCTAAAAGTTGCAGTAATAGGTATGCCAAATGCTGGCAAAAGCACATTCATCAATTATTTGATGGACAGAAAGGTAATTTCAAAAGTTCAAAGAAGTTGAGAGTTAAATGAGTCAAATGCTTATGTTACAGGTATGTCCATCATCTGCAAAAGTACACACCACAAGAGGAAAAGCAAGAGCAATATTCACACAAGATAACACACAGATCGTTTTTATGGACACACCTGGCATAGTTAGTGATAAGGAGCATAAAAAGTATATATCATTTTTCACATTGATTGGCAGTAAACCAGTAGAGATATAATTGCATATATCTATAATGTGCTGGTACACTTTTCAGATTTAATTTAGAGAAGACCTTTATAAGGGACAGTAAAAATGTATCAAGAGATGCAGACATGATTGGTATCATACATGATGTTACAAATTTTTGGACAAGGGATAGGTTGGACATGAAAATTATAAAACTGCTTGAGTATCACAAATCAAAACCTAGCTTTCTCATATTCAATAAGGTATGGCCTATTGTGTGTGTATTATATTCCATATTTTATGCTCTAGACATTAATTGTCTATGTCCCTCAGAGAGAAACTATATATAGAACAAATTAAGGTTTTCTTCATTTTAATGATAGAATTGTATAAAACTGTAATATGAATTATAATCAAGTCAATTTGTTTAGTTATAATTTTTAGCATACAAAAGGAAGATTTGCATTCACAAATGAATGATTTGACTAAGTTACTGAATAAATAATTAAATTTCAGATAGATGCATTAAAATCCAAACGAAAGCTGTTAGATCTTGCAAGATTGCTGACTGAAAATTGCCTAGATGGAAAACCAATGCCAGGCACAAAATCTTTCAACAGAGAAGGTTCTGATATGAAAGGTTGGCCATATTTTCAAGATATATTCATGGTATCTGCTCTAACAGGTTGGTGTGCCATTTTTTATTAAAATTCAAGAATTTGTAGCCATTCGAAGTGGCCAATATTAATTTTGATTATTAATCTTTTAGGTGATGGCTTGGAAGATGTGAGAAACTATCTGATCAGCAAAGCTCAGCCTGGAGAATGGTTATTTCCAGAACAAGTATGGACTGATCAAAGTACAGAAACTATCATAACAAATACAGTTAAAGCAAAACTCTTAGATTTTATTCCTCAAGAGATTCCTTACAACCTGAAACCATGCATGGAATACTTCAATGTTGATGAAACAGGTAATGTTATATTGTATTGTTCTTTGTATAGGAAGAGCTAAATATTTCATGCATGATGTTCAATTACAATAGGTCAAATGTGCTATTTAAGATAACTGGTGGTTCATTTAGAGTTAGTTTTTTTCAAGGCATAATACATAATAACATTAAACTGCTACTTCTAAACTTCAGTAACAAAGGTGCAGTTCATTGTTTTTATATATAATGAACGTTTCATTGGTAGAGGGAAATATTTTAGGAATATAACAAATAGGAAAGAAACAACAACATGCAAGGTGATCATAGCTTTACTTTGATTGAATGGATAAATTCAGCCAAGCTGTCATAGATCTCTTTTTTATGTAAGCATAATAGATACATGATGTTATTTTGTTCATTAGTCACAGAGATTCATTTGTAATATTCTGGGAGCCGAAAAATAGGTGGTCAAGATTTCCAGTTTCATTAGATCTTATGCATAGGTCAGTGTCCAGTTCACCAACCCGATATAAATGATCTATGTAACATGCGTGTCCCAATCTGATCCTTGTTAGTGTCATCACAGCCTTTCTGTTGTATTTGTGGTTACTAAACTAGGTGGATTTTAGGATGTATTAATACATATCTATTTATTCTTGTGTTTTTATATTTCTCCCATATTGTTTCGAAAACAGGTCTCATTTGTTCTTTCTATGTATGAGTATATTCATCTATAGGAAGAAGGTGGACTAAGTTTTCTTCAGATGTAATGCTGCGAATCTGTGACTTGCACATCTGCACCTCATAGTTGCATGTCATCAAAGCGGGATGTATACGTTATTTCTTTAAAATTCAGACTGTCTCGCAACTGCTGTCTGGCATCCTGATAATAGAGTATCCTTTTAATTTCACATTAAGAAATCAGGGCAATTTCGATGTTGTTATTATACAAGAATTGATTAGAGCTGTGTTTCTTTGCAACTGCAGACCTAGCATTCCACTGCATGATTTTCAATTTAGTATTCATCTTTCTCAATATTAGCCAATTTCGCAAATGATTTTACTTTACTTAGTAATTTCGTACAAGTTGTAGTGTTTTTTAATAGCGCCTCAAGAAGCCTCTCATCAAGTATTTCTGATTCTCTAGGGGGTAGGGGGTTACTGGGACCAAATGAAAAAGGGCGCATGGGGGAATGGAAGTATTATTGATTGGGGATACAATATCTCGTTTCTTTTCTTGCTGAGGTAGGGGTCTAACTATATGCTGCGCAACTGTATGAGAATTTGTTGGTTACGACAGTGAAAGGTTTGCTGATTGACTGTGTGAGGTTTGTTTGGTAGGGAGAGGTCCAAATTATGTATTAGACACTTGACCTAACACTTCAAAGCGATTGTTTGAGTTTAATATAAAGGAATAAGAGCTACCGTGTTTTCTTTTAGCCTTCAGAAGCGTAAAATTTTGTTCATCCATAATTTTTTGATTTTTTCCAGATCCACATAAGATGGGCAATTTTTAGGTGTGATTTGTAATCGTTGTTCTTACAATAAACACAACAACTATCCTGAAAATCCATGCAATTGTGCTCCGAATCCTTTATTTTAACGCAATTAATTCATAAGGTCGATGAACTTCTGCATTGCTTTTCCACATGCTCATATCTAAAACACTTAAATACTCTATATATGAACGGGTCTACTTCAAAAACTACACTGTTTAAAGAAATGTAGGAAGGTAAAATAAGGTCACTATGATAGACTGCTTGGGCTCATAGGCAACCTGCCCAGCAATTTCTACCTAATGTTTAAACATTGATAGTTACAGGAGCCCAAAAAAATTCAAATAAATATATCCCGTCAAAACTGGTATCACTGGTTTTTATCACTGCATTCCTAAAAAGTAGATTACTGGGAATAAACGCTCTGAAATATTAATTTTCTAATGACTGGTTATAACCAATCGATTTTCATCCTTCAAACTTTTTAGCTGAACATTGATTCTATTTCTACCTAGTTTTTCGATGTTGACAATGTTTGGAATGTTGAGTTTTTTATGTAGTAAGTGGCCTGTGGCCATTGGGTGGACCGTATCAATATTTTGAGTATTAATTTTCTCAACAAATACATAGATCGAATCTGAATATTGCTAAGTTTTTGTAAATTGAAAACAGTGCACTTATCTGTCGTAGTATCGATTGCGATCCTGGTGTTCAGGATGTCTCCTTGGCGAATTTCCACCTCAGTATTGCTACCTTCCCCTGTGGGAGAGATGCCCATGTTAGTTGATCCCCTATCAGGGGGATCGTTATCCATAGGCATTACACAGCAAAATATATGATGGTTATTATTACTAGTTGCACAAGCCAGAGGGAGAAAAAGAAGCAATTTTTGTATGTACGTATCTGGTTTTCCAATAGGGACTTGCCAACTTTGAACTTTCACTGTGAACGCACCTATAAATGAATTACCGAACTGTCAATGTCAAAACATTCAGTAAAGAAAACATTTTCTTCATGATAAAGTACACGAACGAACAACGCTTAGAAATAATTAAAATTTAGTACCGAAATTCCGAGTCGGTGACTACAACTTTAAGAGCGTTAACGCCGATTCTCGACCCAGTAGACAAGCAATTCATAGTCTAGTAAAAAAATATGAGTCCACATATTCGCTGCTGGATGTTCACGTGCAAGTGAGAAAATGGGTTGGTCGAAGTGCCGAGAATATTGCTGCCGTTCAAGCTTCAGTCGCGAACGAATAGAACACGGCGTTCTCAAGAATTGGGCATCGCTCAAATCAAGTTAACTCAAAAAATAAAGCCGTTCGATCATACGAACCGAAGTACGTTCTCGAATTGAGCTCTAGAAATGTTGCAAGAAAAATACCAATTTCATCGCAAAATCGTCTTCAGTGATGAGGCCCCTTTTTAGGCTCAACGGCTTCGTCAACTAACAGAGTATGAGTTATTGGTCAAGTGAAAATCCTCATGTGCTTCAAGAAACACTTCATCCACAAAAAATAACTAGGGTGAGGTTTTCATGCGGGTGGTGTCATTGGGCAGTTTTTTTCTTTATTGAAAATGACCGTCACGTTAGTCAAGATCGCTACAGAGACATGTTGCAACATTATCTTTTTGGTCAATTGAATGCGGTTTCAACAAGAGGGTGCCACAAGCCACACAGCGGGTGAAACAGTCGACATATTGAAGTCAAAATTCGGTGAGCGTGTTATATCGAAAATGGTCCTGTCGAATGGCCGCCTAGATCGTGTGATTTATCATCTCCAGACTTGTTTTTTGTGGGGCTCCATTAAATCATTGGAGTATGCTAACAAGCCGGCGTCGTTAGAGGAGTTCAGAGCCAATATTTAACGAGAGATAGCGGCCGTTTCTGTCGAAATGTGTGGCAGTCATTGAAAATTGGGTTCAACGAATCGATCGCTGGGAACGTGCCCGTGGTGGACGAGGTCGGATTCCATACATAAATGTTTTGAGTATACTTCAATCCAATAAAATTTTCGAGATATCTCAAGTGGTTTGCGTTTTATTTAAAAAGAAAGTTGTCAAGTCCTTGGAAAACGCTTACAACTCTGTGCCCAACACTCCATGCGATCTTTTTGTCTATGAAGGTCACGAAAGTACTGAGCTATAGGGTTTTTATAACCACTTTGGTGGACTCTATTCACAGTTAAAATATTTCCCTCTCCTAACACCCTGTATATAGATATTTTATTAATTTGACCTTTTCTAAAAAGTATCTCTCGGTGGGTAAGAGAATTTGAGGTTGTTGATAAATTCTGAATAAATTGATTATTTATTAATTTCAGGTGAAGTCACATGTGTTGTTCTAGTTCAGTGTCCAACAGACAGAATTGTTAAGCTAGTTGCTGGTGCATCTGATGGAAAAATTAAACAAATCACAGAAAGTGTACAGAAGGATCTACAAGAGACATTTCATAATTTTGTTAAGATTAAAATAGTGCTTACATCCCAAGAACAGTAGACTGTTCTTGATTAGTGTTTATATTAGATAACAAATATAATCTATTTGTCACCCATATTTACCCACTTACTGATACCCAACCACTGTAAAATGAGGTAGACTCATAAGCTTGAAAATGTGCCATTTTTGTATTTTGTTTCATATTTGCCCTTTTATCTCTTGTTTTCAAGACAAAATCTCATACGCCTAACATATACTCTCAATGAAATGTAATTTCCCACTTATGGTTAAATAATATAAGGGAAAATAAAATCGCAAATTTACTCATACTTGTTTATTGTTGAATAAAAATAATCTATATACAAAAATCATACATTAGAACTTAAATAAAAAATAGTTGACTTGATATCTTTCATGTGCATTAATTAGCACTTGTAGTTTTTATTTTGCTATGATTTACCCCAAAATGAGTTCTGCATTGTCAATATCCTACAGAAATCACTTCGGAATTCAGCATAGAGGCAAAATTTACATTTCCCTTATACATACTAAAATTATAAAGCCTCATCACTACTACTTATAAAATATTTGAAACTCAACCAATGAAATAAAACATTTTGTAGTTAATTCAAAGTAGCTTACAAATATGTAGTCCTGATTCTGCTGTGATTTACCCCAACGTTAATCCCGTACTGTCAACATCCCACGGAAATTACGTCGGAATTCAGCATTAAAATATCTGAAGTAAATACAAATATCCATACCTATTGCTCTACAAGAATTTGTGAAAATAAAGTCGGGAGGTTTAAGGCCTTGTGAACGCTAAAATTATAAATCTGTCACTGCTGTCTAAGATAAGAACGTTTAAACCAAAGGGGTCTATCGCAATTCTGGCGCTATAGTAGATTCAGTCTACTCTGGGATACAGTTCTAACACACAGCTGTTTTCACATTCACAGTGGTCGATTCTGACAACAGATGGCACTTTGAGCTGTCTACACCATGCTGACGAGTTGCCAAATAGCACAAAACAGCTCTCCACTGTTGGCCATCTGTAGTCGGACGTAGGAAAGTTATATTACCAATTTGAAAAAAAAATCGTAAAATCAAATCATATTCAAGTATACTTTATCTGAAGTCACTTGAAACACTGTGAAATACCGGGTGCGTTTTATATATCTATATTTAACACGCTCTGTTGCTGCAAAAATCGCCAAATTTCGCAGCAAATATCCCCCGTATAAGATCAAAAGCAGTTTCACCGGTCCACGTGGAGTAAAGCACGACTATGCGTGGACATAGCCAATGAGAAAGTGAGTATTTCAGAGCTCCGAACAAGTGCAGGTGGCTACTGAAAATTGAAACAGTTTAGCCAGTGCCGTGTAGCGGTGAATAAACGTGTTTTCTTTAGTCTGTCCGTGTTTTTTCATAGATTTTATTAGTTTTTGTGTGTTTTTGACTTTTGAATACTCAGTTTACTTGTTGTGTTGATTGTTCTTGTGTGTCCTAAATATGGGTCTTTGGAGACCTTTGGAAAATGCTCCAAGCCACGAGGAGATGGTTGATGAACCTGTGCAGGCAGAATTCTTTCATAAAGATTTAGAGGAACAGACCCAAAGAGTAATCCGAAATATGTATGATTGTCTGAAAAACGAAAATCCAGATTCCTCGCAAAATCAAATTTTAAAACAGAATTTGTATCCTGACAAAAATCAGTCGGTCTACCATTTATCGGGTTATAAAAAGGGGAGATGTAGTCAACCATTCCTTCCACAGAAAGCGCATAGGGCAAAAATTAAAAAGAATAGACGTGGGTTTTCAGGAAGATATTCGTCGTATAATATATGGATTTTATAAAGAAAATTTGGTGCCCACGTTGGAAATGATACGGGATAAATTAAAAGATTATCCTGAAGATTTTTATAATTACAAATGCTTAGACTCACTGCACTGTATTGTAAAACTGTGTGGTTTTCAATACAAAAAATTAGATAAAAGAATGGTGATTATGGAATCGTCTCGAATCGTTGAATTGCGCCAAGAATTTTTGCACAAAGTTAAAATCTATAGAGAGCAGAAAAGAAATCTGATTTACCTGGATGAAACGTGGTATGATACTCATGATGTTGTGCAGTACGGCTGCAAAATGGATGTATACCTAATGCCTTGCTGTTATCTGCCAAAAATATCAAAGAATCATGTGCCGACTATCATGAGGACATGACCTCCGACTTATTTGAAAAGTGGATAGAGCAGCAGTTAATACCAAACATTTCCCCAAATTCAGTGATTATTATGGACAATGCGCCATAGCATTCCCGACAGAAAAACAAAATTCCGAATACAGGCACAAAAAAAAAGACATTATTGATTTTATGAAGGATAAGGGAATGGAAATACCACAAAAATCAACCAAAGCCATATTATTGGATCTTATTAAAAGACAAAAATTTGAAAAAGAGTATGTTGTTGGCAATCTGCTTCAGCAAAATGGCCATGAAGTATTACGTCTACATCCCTATTACTGCATTTTTAACCCGATTGAGTTGGTCTGGGCTGCTTTAAAAAAAAAGTAAGAAAACATAATCAGACCCCTCAATTAAGTGAATCGCTATTGGCCACAATAAGAGATGCAGTATCTCATATTGCTGCCACAGACATATGGAAGCAGTGTTCTAGGCATATTATTGAAAAAGAAAAGGAATATTGTTTTGCCTCCTGTAAATCCCGTTGTAATTCCTCTACAAGATGACTCTAGCGACAGCTCCGAAGGCGAGGATGATATATAAATACCTATAATGTAAGTCTTTATATACCTTTTTATATACCTACCTGCTATGTAAATATTTGCCTATGTCAAACGTTGGAATTCTGTAATTTTTTCACTTCTTAACTTTCAGTCAACATAAATTGAACTCCCAATATAAGTATTTTTTATCCCAAATCAAAAAAATAAGAAGAAATTACAAAGAACGCGCCGACCAAAGGTTTTTATGCTATTTCAAGTGACTTCAGATAAAGTATACATAGTCTATTGTACACATTTAAAAATAGCTCACAAATCTGTAGTCCTGATTCTGCTATGATTTACCCCAAAGTTAGTCCCGTAATGCCAACATCCCACGGAAATTACGTCGGAATTCAGCATAACAAATGTCTGAAGTAAATACAAATATCCATACTTATCGCTTTACAACTATGTGTGTTGCCTTGTGCAAATCATAAATATTTCACTGGTACCTAAGATAAAGCATTTGAAAAAAAGGTCTATCGGAATAACACAGCACAAAGCACCATCTTGTCCTACCTGAAACCAAGCCTACACCAAATAGCACGAAACAACTGCCTATGGTCGAACGAACAAAAGCTATATTACTTATAATTTAAAAAAAAACAAAAATTAAAATAGATTCAAGTATGTCTAGGGTGTAGGGTACTCATTTAAAAATAGCTTACAAATCTGTAGTCCTGATTCTGCTATGGTTGACCCCGACATTAGTCCCGTACTGTCAATATCCCACGGAAATAACGTCGGAATTCAGCATAACAAATGTCTGAAATATAAATATCCATACCTACTGCTTCACAACTATTTGTGAAAACGAAGTCAGGAGGTTTAAGGATATACCCTTGTGCATGCCAAAATTATAAATATGTCACTGCTACCTAAGATAAAAACAACGGGGGCTGTCGCAATAAGACCGCACAAAGTACCATTTTGTCCTACCCGAGAAAAGCCTACGCCATGCTAATGAGTTACCAAATAGCACGAAACAGATTCAAGTATATAATCTAGGGTACTCATTTAAAAATAGCTCACAAATCTGTAGTACCGAATCTGCTATGATTTACCCCGACGTTAGTCCCGTACTGTCAACATCCCACGGAAATTACGTCGGAATTCAGCATAACAAATGTCTGAAATATAAATATCCATACCTACTGCTTAACAACTATTTGTGAAAATAAAGTCAGGAGATTTAAGGATATACCCTTGTGCATGCTAAAATTATAAATATGTCACTGCCACCTAAGATAAAAACAAAGGGGGGCTGTCACAATAAGACAGCACAAAGTACCATTTTGTCCTACCCGAGACCAAGCCTACACCATGCTGATGAGTTACCAAATAGCACGAAACAGATTCAAGTATACTATCTACGGTACTCGTTTAAAAATAGCTCACAAATCTGTAGTCCTGAATCTGCTATGATTTACCCCGACGCTAGTCCCGTACTGTCAACATCCCACGGAAATTACGTCGGAATTCAGCATAACAAATGTCTGAAGTAAATACAAATATCCCTACCTACTGCTTTACAACTATTTATGAAAATAAAGTCCGGAGGTTGCCTTGTGCATGCTAAAATTATTAATCTGTCACTGCTACCTACGATAAAACATTTGGAATAAAGGTCTTTCGGAATAACACAGGACAAAGTACCATCTTGTCCTACCTGAGACCAAGCCTGCACCATGCTGATGAATTACCAAATAGCATGAAACAACTGCCTATGGTCGAACGAACAAAAGCTATACATATTACTAATTTGAAAAAAAAAAATAAAATAGATTCAAGTAGGGTACTCAATTAAAAATTGCTTACAAATCTGCAGTCCTGATTCTGCTATGATTGACCCCGACATTAGTCCCGTACTGTCAATATCCCACGGAAATAACGTCGGAATTCAGCATAACAAATATCTGAAATATAAATATCCATACCTACTGCTTCTCAACTATTTGTGAAAATAAAGTCAGGAGGTTTAAGGATATACCCTTGTGCATGCTAAAATTATAAATATGTCACTGCCACCTAAGATAAAAACAAAAGGGGCTGTCGCAATAAGACAGCACAAAGTACCATTTTGTCCTACCCGAGACCAAGCCTACACCATGCTGATGAGTTAGCAAATAGCACGAAACAGATTCAAGTATATTATCTACCGTACTCATTTAAAAATAGCTCACAAATCTGTAGTCCTGATTCTGCTATGATTTACCCCGACGTTAGTCCCGTACTGTCAACATCCCACGGAAATTACGTCGGAATTCAGCATAACAAATGTCTGAAGTAAATACAAATATCCCTACCTACTGCTTTACAACTATTTATGAAAATAAAGTCCGGAGGTTGCCTTGTGCATGCTAAAATTATTAATCTGTCACTGATACCTACGATAAAACATTTGGAACGAAGGTCTTTCGGAATAACACAGCACAAAGTACCATCTTGACCTACCTGAGACCAAGCCTGTACCATGCTGATGAATTACCAAATAGCATGAAACAACTGCCTATGGTCGAACGAACAAAAGCTATACATATTACTAATTTGAAAAAAAAAATAAAATAGATTCAAGTAGGATACTCAATTAAAAATTGCTTACAAATCTGCAG